CAGATTTCTCACTTAGGTGATAAGAATTTACTAGATTTTTAGATGATAAGAATTTATTATCTTGAACTTCAACCCTAATTGGGCCTATGACAACAGACAGATTCAGATTCAGCTGGAAATGAAAAGAATAAGTGAATTGTATGGACTAACTACCCACACAGGGCCCTGGTGAAATAGTTAACTAGCATCTAGGTTAAAGTTGTGCTTTCTTTTAATGATGAAGGAAGCTATGCACAGAGGAATAGAGTTGTAGGGTAGTAATTTGCTTCCATTCTGCTGGGTCAAATGGTACTCAAGAGGCTAGGTGTTTGTAATCTGAACACACAAAGTTCAGAGAAAAAAGAAGCCTAGAGTTCAGTTACTTTTGACAAATTGCAGGTCAGTAAGGACTGCCTGTTAAGATGACCCAGAGGAAAATTCATCTTTTTAATTAATCTCCTGTGTTCCTCTGTTGCATGCTAACATCATAGATAAGACCAGAGGATGCCTCTAGTGACTCATTATAACTCTTGCTTTTCTCTGATTACTCTGGGCTCCAAATACTTCTCTGTGGTAAGAATGGTAGTTAACAAAAGAGTTGGGTTCCCAGTGGACCTTATTAAAAATGTTGTGATTACAAGGTGATTAACTTATGTAGATGAATCAACGTAGCCAATGAACCAAGCTATGAACCCAGAACATATCCAGAGGGCAGAGAAGCACAAAGCCTAGTCACACTCAGAATACTGTGTAGCATTTAAAGGTGAATTCTGGAAAGAAAGTGAAAAAGAAAACCTGAACATTATTATTTTGATTTCAAAAACACTAAACTGGAAATAACAGACAGTAGAAGATTTTTGTAGAATCTGTGCATGCTGCTTTAGATAGACCACTAGAGCAAAAGTGAAAGTGTTTTGCCATTAAGGGAGGCTGATCAGCTCAAGAGGCTGTATTCAAGCTGTCTTTGTACACCTGGTAGATGTCCTATTTGCATCTTATTCACTGTCGGCAAACATCACCAACTCCTTCATTGTGCCTCTTGTTATATCTCAGAGGCAGGTTAAACTTACTCTGTTGTTGTGTACAATAGATTGGAGGGATGAGTGAACTAGCCTACAATTTCAAATCTAGGTGAATGATGGAAACAATCACAGGAATTGAAAGTCAGGAAGAGAAACAGGCTTTGTCTGAAAAGGATAATTCAGATTTTGGCTTTTTTATAATAGTGTGTCTTAACAGAATTGAATTTTTCTGTTAAGAAATCATTAGTTACCTTTGTGGTCCTAACGCACTAGGAATATTGGAGTTAGGTCATTATGGCACTTTTATGTGAGTGACAGTAGGTTGTAATGTGGTTGCAATTTACTGACTTTTGTGAGATAAAGTCTCAATTTGCTGAAAAATTGTAGTAGAGATACAAATCAATGGATTTGTGATAGGAGGCATTCTCCTGGGGTTGGGAGGTACACACTTGTATGACTATATGCTGAGCTTGTCAGGTTACATATTTAAAAATAAATGGTTCACCTACTTCTCCAAAGTTTCATCTTTGAAAAGACTACCAGAGAGATAAAGAGCAGGAGGTAAGGGTCTAGAAATGAAACCTTAAGGAATGCCCATGAAAAGGGAGAGAAGTCAGACAAGAAGAATGAAAAGAAGTATTCTGAGAAGTTTTAGGAGAATTCGGCTTGGGCAGAATCATGAATGTTTTCAGCATTCATTGTTCCCTCATAATCATAAAGTGGAAAGCATTCTCTTTTGTTCAGCTTTTCTTTTTTGGAAAAACTTATGGAGGCTTGGGGTTCAATCTTTAGGCATTCAGTACAACTCACCAGGGAAGCCATCTGAGCCTAGATTTTATTTTATTTTTTTCTGGGATTTAAAAAAAATTACTAATTACTGATTTTTTTTAACTTTTAGATTTATTCAGATTTCCCATTTCTTCTTGATTCAGTTTTGGTAGTTTGAGTCTTCTGAGGAATTTATCCATTTCATATAAGCTATCACATTTTCTGATATAACTGTTCATAGTACTCCCTTGTAATCCTTTTTATTTCTATAAGGTTAGTATTAATGCTCTCATTCTCAATTTTGATAATTTTGGTGTTTTTTTTTCTTTTTTTCTAGTCAAACTAGCTAATGGTTTGTCACTTTTGTTGATCTTTATGAAGAACTAACTTTTGGTTTCATTTGTTATTCTCTATTTTTTAATAGTCTCTACTTCATTTATTTCCATTCTGATCTTAACAGGCAGTCCATATTGATTTGTAACTTGTCAAAAATAGCTGAACTTTAGGTTTCCTGTAGAGATAGTAGTTTAGAGGTAGAAACTGATTGAAATATACTTAAAGAGAACTTGACGAGATGTATAAAAAATATGTAGTCTTTCCCAGAACACATAGGACATTCTCAAAAACTGAACAAGTACTAGGCTACAAAGGAAGTGTCTTTATGGGAATATTTTAGGTGCATTGTCTTCATGGTCTAAGAAAGACAGGAGTGACCACTATTACTCTACTGCTCATTGTAGTCCACCAGTAGTAGCTATGGTGCCGATGTATCCTTTAATGTATATAGTGAGGTCTGTGTTTATATACTAATGGAATAGACTGTGTCTATATACTAATGGATACTAGTGGAAGAGAGTTGAATATTCAATACTTGGTGCCCTTGTTCCTGGTGGAGTGCATTTGTGGTGCTGGGGCTGAGGGGTGATGAGATTCAATTGCTTGATTAGAGCATTGCATGAGATGTGTTTGAGAATTCTTTTTAACTATATAGCATTGAATCTTCACTACCTACCTCTTCTTTTAATATCTCTTAATTTTTTCTGCATAAACTAGTCAGAGTAGATTTTATTGAATTGCATCTGAAAATCTGGCTGATTAAAGGGACATCTTGATAAAGCATATTGGTTTATAAAGCTAATAAAAGAGTATGGTAGTATTAGTGTTATAGAAACAACTAGATCAATGATATAAAATATAAAACTCAAGAACAGAGCAAATTAGGTAATATTATATATAATAAACATAGTAAAACAGATCTGTGGGAGAAAGGTGGGTTATTTTGTAGATAGTGTTGGGAAAACTGTCCTGCTCAATGGGGAAAAATAAAGATGCATTTCTCATATATACATACATATATATATATGTATATATATATATATGGATGACAGAGGACGAGATGGTTGGATTGCATCACCGACTCAATGGACATGAGTTTGAGCGAGCTCTGGGAGATGGTGAATGACAGGGAAGCCTGGCGTGCTGCAGTCCATGGGGTTGCAAAGAGTTGGTCTCAATCATGTCTGACTCTTTGCAATCCTATGGATCATAGCCTGTCAAGCTCCTCTGTTCATGGGATTCTCCAGGCAAGAATACTGGAGTGGGTTGCCATGCCCTCCTTCAGGGTATCTTCCCCACTCAGGGATCTAACCCAAGTCTCTTATGTTTCTTACATTGACAGCACCACTTGAGAATATCTATATGTAAATAAGAAGTCATAAGTGATCATCTTATCATTATTAAAGAATCTCCCAGTAAAAAAAGAAAAAAATATTGGGGAAGAAACTAATTTTTCCTGACCTGGGAGACCATTAAAAAAAGATAGAAAAGGAAATGAATAAAACAACCATTTTAGGATGAAGAAAATAAATATTTCACTCTATGGAAGTGTATTTTAAATAATCACTCACCTGAATGAGGAACATCTTTTGTTAACCAGAAGGCTTTCTAACAAGGTGATTATTTCCTCTCTATAGTCTTCATATCCCTTGGATATTGAATAAAGGAGAGGAATTTGAACAAAAGGAAAGGGCAAAAAAGTCTCTTCAGGTTGTGAGAAGCTATGAAGAGTGTCTCAGAGGCTGCTTGGGATATGATCTTCCATCCGTTCCCATGTAGCCCACTAGGCAGTGATGGTGTACATATAAATGCTACTGGATTAAACTTGAATTGCCACAAATCTTTTTTTCTCTTCTTTTTCAAATAAAATCCCATTAAAATCTGTATAAAACCCTCAGGTAGAACTACTAAGCCCTCATTAGTAACAGATGGGACAGTCTCAGGCTATATAATGAAGATAGGTACTATCCAAAAGCCTTCAATGTGGGAAACCTGGGTTCGATCCCTGGGTTGGGAAGATCCCCTGGAGAAGGAAACGGTTACCTACTCCAGTATTCTTGCCTGGAGAACTCCATGGACTGTATAGTCCATGGGGTCACAAAGAGCTGGAAATGACTAAGTGACTTTCACTTTCACTATCCAAGAAAGGTCATCTCCAGATGAAATTTTGGGTCTTTCTAGACACAGTTTCTTTTGGTTACAGAAAAATATAAGTGAGATTTTCCTTCCATACTTATTCCAGAGATCATCTTGGATGCAAAGAGTCAAACTTTGATGAATATTGTAATTTACATTGTAATTTTTGTGCCTTAAAAATATGCATTGTTCATCTACCACAGGTACTAAGATTTCATGATCATTATTTTTAATATATTAGCATAGCATTATATTACATGTGATAAGTTCAGCATACTTTTTTGTGTGAACCTATCACTTTAGTTTGAATGACCAATCAGTCTCCTCCCATCATTGTGAGACTTTCTGGCACCGTTAATGAAGGAAGCAAGTTTCTTAAATGATTAATGCCTTCTTAAATGCACAGCTATGATGACCTCTGAAAGGATGTGTGTGTGCTCAGTTGCTAAGTCCTGTCCAACTCTTTGTGACACCATGGACTGTAGCCTGCCAGGCTCCTCTGTACATGGGATTTTCCAGGCAAGAATACTGGAGTGGGTTGCCATTTCCTCCAGCAGGGCATCTCCTGTTTTAAGACTCCCTGCTCAGAACAAAGTACAGATGAAGTTATTAAGTATCCTCAGAACTATAATGATTCTTCTTGGTTCACAGACTCTGACTGATGATGTCATGACACAGAAGAAAAGGCAAAACAGGCAGCCTATAATCAGCTTCCTGTGGCAACAGGAAGGCAACAGTCCTGAGACCAGCTGCATTTTGGCCATGGCTTTGCAGAGCACTCTGGAAGCAGTGTGGCTGGGTCTCCTCCTCAGCTCTCTCTGGAAGTGTGAGTAAGCTTTTTCACCAACTGATCTTGGAAAAATGTATGCCTTTGTTTTAAAATTTGTTTAAAATTTAAAACTCACAACCTTCTTTTTTTGTTTCCTGTAGTTGCAGAGAGCAAGGACCAAGTATTTCAGCCTTCCACTGTGGTCTCTTTGGAGGGAGCTGTGGCAGAAATTTCCTGTAATCACTCTATATCCAATGTTTATGGCTTCTTCTGGTACCTTCACTTCCCAGGATTTGCACCAAGACTCCTTATTAAGGGCTCACGGCCTTCTCAACAGGGACGCTACAACATGACATACAAGAGGTTCTCTTTATCACTGCTCATCCTCCAGGTGCAGACGGCAGATGCAGGGGTTTATTATTGTGCTCTGAGGTACACAGAAGCAGGGAATCCATGAAGAGCTGAACAGAAACAAGGAGAAGTCACAGCATTTGCAGGATGTGGAAGAAAGATAAACAATAACTGCTTCCCCTCCTACTCCCAATTCAGCATTCCCCAAGCTTTTCCATTTGCACTATCAGAAAAAACATTTGAGTCCAAACACTATATATAGGCTTCCCTTGTAGCTCAGCTTGTAATGAGCCTGCAATGCAGGAGACCCCGGTTTTATTCCTGGGTTGGGAAGATTCCCTGAAGAAGGGTTAAGGTACCCACTCCAGTATTCCTGGGCTTCCCTGGTGGCTCAGATGGTAAAGAATCTGCCTGCAATGCAGGAGACCTGGGTTCAGTCCCTGGGTAAGATTCCCTGGAGGAGAACTCCAATACTCAACTGGTTTGTCTGGATCCTCATTCAGAATGTTTTCCGTTGCCTAAAATAGACCCCATGGTCCACCTGATCAAGGCAAACTATTGGCTTCTACCTTTAACAAAGAAATAAGATGGGCAGTCCATAAATTGCATGGATATGAGACCTATTGACTCCTGTGAAACACTTCTGTCTTTACCACATGGGGTCGCTGTTGCGAGCTGATTCTAAAATGTGACCCATTTGTGTTACTTGTGTACAAGGCGTTCAAGCATATTTAACTCTCATAAATCCTTCTTTCTTCTCCACCTGGTACTGAAGGGGAGCTGGTTACTCCATACTTGGTATTTCATATATACTGTGTCAAAATGTTACTAGAAGTCATCAGCACTCATTGATCTTTTCCATGGGAAAATGAAAAAGTTGTTTACTTAGAATACTTTCAACAATTTTAGACCTGGAAGAAGTGCTCCCCAAATATTTTCTAGTGATTTTCCTTTCCCATATTATATGAGCAAGGCAGTCAACATATCACTATATTTTCCACATCAGTGCGAACTTTTAAAGTGTTTGGATAATTGCAATTGGGTGATTCAACTAACATTAAGATATCTTCTGGATTTAGCTCTTTTTCAGAGGTAAAAAAATTTTTTTNTTTTTAAAATTTCTGCTACTGAGTTTATATTGGGAATTTCGGGTTTTTTTTGGCTGCATGATCGTAGTTCCCACCCATACACACTGAAATGGAAACTTGGAGTCCTAACCACTGGACTGCCAGGGGATTCTCTTGTGGGTATTTCTTGAAGGAAGAGTGAATGATCCATAAATACATTAAAAGTAGTCACATATACTAGAATTCCTGCACAATTCCTTTCTACTGGTGTGGTTCTTTACCTGTGGTTTAGAAAAGAAGGAAAGGAATGGGAAGCAATTACAGTTTACTGCTGACTGTTTCCAACAGGCTGACTCTGAAGTAGGTGTTATTGTTCCAGTTTTACAGATGAAGAAACTGAAACTCCAAGGAGAGAGTTGCCCTAGATCACAAGGTGGAAGAGCTGGGATTTGGATTTAGGTCTGTCTTGACTCTGAACTTGGGCCTTTTCTTCTTCTCCTCCACTTCCTGTTTTGGTGATTGATTCCACATCAAATGTCTTTTCCTAGCTAGTCAGTCAAAGAAGGCAATGGCACCCCACTCCAGTATTCTTTATTTTATTTATTTATTTATTAGTTGGAGGCTAATTACTTTACAATATTGTAGTGGTTTTTGTCATACATTGCCATGAATCAGCCATGGATTTACATGTATTCCCCATCCCGATCCCCCCTCCCACCTCCCTCTCCACCCGAT